TTTCTAAAAGCGGACTCTACCTCTTCTGACCCTCAGCCTTTAAGATGAATGCAGGGACTATCTCTACTGTTCAAAGTCTTGAAGTCAGCCAAGGAAAGATTCCTTGCCCACAAATGCCAAACTTCTGTGGGATCTGCAATGCAGAGAATCACTCCCTTTGCAGCTGCCACTGACATTCCTCTATAACAATATATAACTTTTTTAAGAGTTGTGACGAATGCAAGGGCTTAAAGATTGCTTTCCCCTCATACTTGCAGGCTAATGCAACATTTCAGCTTAAAGTGCTGTTTTAAATTTTAGCAGAACTAGAACTGAAAAAAAAGTTGGAGCTTTCTATGTTCTTGCAAAATTGCTTGTAGCAGAAATTCAAATCTGTGCTTTTTCCAATACATTCGTGAAAGCACCTATACTAGGTTAGAGCCTGAGACATAAGATAAAGACTTCTTTTGGTTTCAGCGGCTTTCAACTACACATAATGCCTGCTAACATGGAAACAAGGTTCTATTACAGCTATTTCAGACTGCAATGAAAGATCAGATAGTGATGTAACGGTACAATTAAAAGACACTTTAAAAAAAAAGTAGTAAACCTAAATCCTGCTTCCTTAAAAAAGTGTATTGCTGATGAATAAGACGCAGTTGAAAACCAAGTAGCATTTCCACTTCATTAGGTACAAGAGAATTGAACTAAACGTAAGTATTTGCTATTCACTGCAATAAAATTACTTTAAAAAAATAAATCTCATCCAATTATGATTTAGCATACTAAACTGGAAAACAAAGAAAAACAAAATTCGTATGTTCCAAAACTTGTCTCAGCACTAAATAGGCAGCTCTCACTGAGATTAAGAGTCTAGTAAAAATACTATATTAATGAGGATTTTCAGATCTGAATAATGGAAGCCTGTGTGCCAAAAGAACTGAAACTAGAATATGGGGAATATCGGTTGTACTAATAAATGAAATCTCTCCTGCTCATCCCTTGTTTTGGTTTCTGCCCTCTATGACGGGTATGTTAACAGCTCCAGCTGGTCTCCTTAGTATTTCCACTACAAAGCAAATACAAAATTCAGTTTACAGAAGCTATCAACTCTATTAAGAATTTTCAAATCTGCCACTGGAAAATAAAAAAATTACTGAGAGGAGAGCATGATAAGTCTGATGAACACTTCCAAATGTAATACCTGTTTTCTTCAGTCAATCATTTACTTTTAACGAGCACCTTATGAAAAACTTCACTAACAGAAAATTAGGAAGCTTCTGGTTTCAGATGTAGCCATTCACATACCTGTGGCCCATCAAAGACAATCTTTAAAATAAAGCTTATTTGTTGTATGTTCTCACAATTTGGGGAATGGAGTACAGAAAAGACAGCTCATTCACCTTTTCTATCCTGTTACGGATATCAATCCATGAAACTGTAACACAATGCAAGCTTTAAAAGTTACTGTCTTCCTGGAGTAAAGATTAAATTTTCTTCTGAGTGTCAAATAACACATGCTTCAGATTTCTGTATGGCTTTTTCTGAGTTTCTCACAGGAAATTCCCCACATGCACCTCCCACACATACTTTTTTAAACAATTAGTGTAGGTAATTTACCATTAGGTTGCTACCTTACACTTTGCAATGACTGAAGCTTGAAGCTTGTTTAGCAAGATAGAAGCCCTCCATTCTCTTCCAATATAACAAAGGGTTAACTTCCCAACTGCAAAAGTTTCAGTCTGACTGTCCTTGCTTCACAGTAGGATAGTGACAGATTCCAGCAAAGAATAGTAAGGAAAAATTCAGCCAAGTAAGGAAAACACTTTGGTCAAGCAAATATATTAGGCAAACTTCAATGCCAGAAGCACAAAGACTAGAATACCAGAAGCCTGCACAGGCATAGTTTTCCTCACATAGAAAGCATCACAAAAGTCTTGGGAGGTAAAAAAAAATGTTGGTTGCTTAACAGCTTTGAAAATGAAAAGCTAGCCTTACATCAATATAGTTAAAAAAAAATTTCTGTACTTGAGGCTACAAAGCACTAATACGCTAAGTACAGCGTCTGTCATAAAAATTAAGAGAAAAGGAAACCTCGCAAATGTTATAAATTCTTACAATTAAAAGCTAGATATTTGTCTGTCTTCATACACAACAATCAAGGAAAATATGTAACACGGATGTTATTCTCTGTATTACTATTATCACCAAAATGTAGCTACACTCAAGATTAATGAAGTCAGAAGAGTAAATAAAAACTACTCTGAGGACTCCCTTTCTGTTGTACTGTTCAAAATTAAGAAGATTTCTTCATAGATCACTGGTTTAATAATAATTTCTTATTATACATGTTAAATAGTTCTATTGGAAAACAAAATTGCCCCATAAATTAATAGAACAACACATTCCCTAATAAGAGGATACAAATTTTATACATGCATGTTTTAAACACCTGAATTTCAGCACCAATTCCATATTAAACAGAAAATACAACCTAAACCTATTGACCCACAAAAAATACGTATTTCCTCAGATATAAAAATATGAAGGAGCAGGGAAAAGAGAAAAACAAAACCCTGAGAAACACAAGAGCTACATTTATAGGAATACAGCCGTTTACAAAATGCCTTTTTTTTTAATGGTTGCCTTTCAAGCTGTGCCAACACTACAACGAACATAAAAGATCTGCCTCCATAGCAGATTTAGAAGAATAAGCAATTACTACACGAGAGAAAATAGGCTCAGAAATTTCCACCAATTGGTAATTGGCAGCAAAGCAGCTCTTTATTTGCCAAACTCCACAAAGCCCTTGGGCACCAACCTCTACATATATCAGCAATGAACAAAGAAAAAAAAAAAGAAACACCCTATTGCCTCACGCTGCGGTCAGCCCTTCACTTTGGGGAAAAAGAAACAAACAACAAACACTCCAGAATGCTCTATCCTCCCAGATAAGCAGAAGGAGGCTTTTATTATCAGGGTGTTTAAAGCCATAGGTCTTCTATCTGAGGCACTATATCTCATGACCACTTAAATCATGATTACACTATGGCTGTACAAGCAAAGGCTCCTTCCCAAAGTCTACGGAAGAGCAAAAGGCCTTTCTTCCTAATGGAAGGGAGGTCTCCACTACTACAGCTGAAACAGTTTACAGAGAGAGGCAGTTTTAAGGAGCAGCTATTTGCAGGCTGCTAGCAGTGAGAACCAGGGATTTCTCAATCCTGCTTGAGAACACCTACATCTGCAGTCCAAGTTTGAGTACTGCCTTCACCACAGAAGGGCAGAAAGAGGTACTGCAGCAATTAGAAATCTTATACTTGTTTTGGAGTATTACCAATGATTGGTCATCCTCACTGTGGACTAAAGACAGCCATCACCCACCACGGGTGACTAATGTGCAAGCAATATATGTGAGATTTAGTGTTAATTAATTTCATTGATCCCCGACGCACTACTGCATCTTCCACATCAATGCAGACCAGTCAGTTTCTACTGTGTTAACAACGCAATAGAGGAGGCGAATCTGAATTGAGAATCCTAGTTTTTGCAGTTTCCTCTCCTGACTCTTTCTATCTACTTGCTTGAGAAGATTAAAATCATCTTATCTGAGACAGTAACAGAAGACTTTATGGGTAGAAGAGACTAATTACTGTATAATAAATATCCTGAAAGCTATTTCATTATGAATTAAATTACCCGACTATATCACATTTTAGATGTTCCTAGAAAGGATTCTCTCTTAACAAATCACATTAACAAATCTCATTAAAAATCAAACCTATTATAAGAACTAAAGAGCACATTATAGTCCCACCAAATACTGAAAACCAAGTCTCAGTGATTTATTTGCCTCACTCTATTTAATACCAAAGAACAGAAGTTCTTTTCAAGTACTTAATTATAAAAAGTGTATATCCACAGCACACAGAACATAACCAGAGACAGACCTCACATCCAGACAACCTGAGTAAGTGCACTTGTTCCGCAATACATTTGCTATCAACCTTCAACACAAAAAGGTTTATGATGACAACAAAAATTCCCACATCTCTTTGAACATAATTGAAACTTTTACAAGTAGTTCATGCAAGTATATAGTTACACAGGTGTGCAAAAAAAACCTGTTGAATGAGTAAGAATCCTAATATTTAGTCAACAATACAATAGTCCAGATACCTGATACTGAATGTGAGCAACTTTGCAGCCTGTGTTGCTCTGTATTGCTAAAGTCACAACACTGTCAAAAGTTCCACATCAGTGTCAATATCAAGTATCAAAGTCCTGTTCTATGAAGGGCTGCACCATTAACATGACTGATCAAATGTATTCCTGACACTTTTAATGGTGCAGCAGAACATTCTGTGGGCCACTCTTTTGTATTTCTGAGTAAGAATAAAAGACTGACCTGGCAGCGTGTTTTTGCAGTGGTAAAACTAAAAGGAAAAGCAAGTTGAAAAGGTATGACCACCCCCCCACCCCGCCGAACTACTCATTTCAGATAAAATTATTGACCTCAGAACATGTCAGTTACTACCTCCAGAAAGACATTTCACCCCTTTTGCTACTTAAACAGCAATCTGTGGAAGTAAAATGGAAGGAGACAGCACTATTCTTCTTATACCACTCAGCACTATGTAGTAGTCTGAAAACATGACCCTGCTTCTGAAAACACGTATGTATTTTAGTAAGTTTGCTTTCAAATGTTTCAAATAAACTGTATTACTTAATCAACAGGAACTTTTTTTACCAATGTAATAGAGTTACTTTAGAAAAAAGATTTTTTTTTTAAATTTTGTTTTTCTTAAAATGTAAAGTGGTCAACTTCTTTTGCATTATATACAGTTTTATTTTTTTGTAGTTACTAGTATTTTAATACAAATTTTAAAAGTTGCTGTTTATTAAACTGCCTTTATTCAGAAGCAGGTTAAAGCATATATAGTAACAAGAATTCAAGTTATGAAAACAAAGAAGCTTAGATTAACTCATACTTATTAGATGATCATAGCAATTTATTCTCCTACCTGCTTTCCATCCAGTGTACAAAGTCTCTTGACTACACCCGAATCTAACTTAATGGCTTCTGTGATGTCAGTCAAGACCTGTTCGAAGGAGTGAGCAGTCTTCTTATTCAGCAGAATTCTCACGGCTTTCCGAGGTTTTACTCCACTCCTAATAACAGTCACTAACTTGGGTTTAATGAAATCTTTACTCTCCTTCACTTCACTCTTTGTGGATGTCAAAGATGTCAAGGATCGAGTGGACCCAGTCCTTATGTTCACACACCAGTTTGGATTGACATTCTTGGTGTAATCAACTTTGCGATATGGTTCATTGGATGCACATACATAACTTTCACCTGAAAAGAAGATGACATTTTCATAATTTAAGGGGTTTTGCAGCTAGTTTTCTGTCAATTTTTTTAAAAAAATGACAATTTTTTCAGGAGAAGTGATTTTCCTGTATTTCAACTGCAGGCCATCTTAAATAGAGGACTGTAAATTATCGGATCTTTCCACCCAAAGCATACCCTCAAAGAGTGGTTTCAACAGATTTCAAAAGACCACTCGTTAAGAAATAAAAACAAAACAAAACAAACAAACAAAAACCCCACAAAACAAAAAACAGTAAAAGTTAATGACAGGATTGAAGATATTCCCCATTTCTTTCGGATCATAAGTTCTGACCGCAGAGTCATTTTGCAAGTGCTTAAATTACTTGAGTTCACAACGCATGACATTAGGAGCAGTCTCATACAGCAAATATCTGGGTCCTTCCCTATATATGCCTCACATATACACTTCAAGATACGTACATGCATACCTATGTTTAATGACAAACTATTTTAAAAGGAGCAAGTTTTAAACAGAATAAAATTCAAGCATCTCAAGATCCTTGCCCTGAAGGACAGATTAATTTACCAGGAGTTATGGCCTTTCTACCAAGGATACGCTGTTGAAATGTATTCATGTCAACGTTTTTTAGACCAACACATACCTGTTGAGGCCACAAATGAGACTTTGAAACTAGAGAAATATGAAAGGACATCTACATTTCCCCATTTTAATTTATTTCCTAATTCAAAGTCTGCATGGCTGGTATCTTCTGAAGTCATGAAAGGGAGGTCAGAGGACGAAAAATGTTATCACAGGCTAGTAATACACACCTTTACATGAAATTATTAAAAGTGGCACCAGCCACGATGCAGACCTCACGAATTTGTTACTTTTCTCCATTCCTTGACATAATGTAAGGCTGTAGAGAAACTGGTTTGGGTTTTTTGGTTGGTTTTTTTTTTTTTTTGGTTGGTTGGTTGTTTTTTTGGTGGGGTTTGTTTGTTTTGTTTTGGGTTTGTTTTTTTTTTTTTGTGTGGTACAGTTTTCTTTTCAAACTACTGTTTGTTGTTTACCACAACTCTTTTAAAGTCTGGCAGCAATAGTCAAGATGTAGATCATGACAAATGGCATCTTTAACTCTGGTTTATTTCTGCAACCCACATCCTTGGGGTCTCACAAAATGACGTCCAAAGACTTTCTCAAAGAGGCAGAGTATTGCCAGAAGGATGAAAGGCAAGCATTCCAAACTGACAGAACACACCATTCCTCCAGGCAGAAGAGCTACCTATATCTTAAAAAGCTTAGCCTGTTCTAAGAGTAAAGCTACATGCTCAAGGTCACTGGTGGAACAAAACAGACTCACCTCCTAGACGTGTAAGGAGTACATGTACATCTATTGGATAGTATTGCAAAAGTTACAAAATGTATACCTATGTTTAGATACATGCTAGAAAACTTTTAAACAATACTTTTCCTTTCTGAACTGTAGTCTGGAGAGTTAATTTAGATTAGAAGTTGTACATCTTACTCTAAAAGCAAGATAATAAACTACTTTCAAACACCTGAAGACTTACTGTGATCTCAAAGATTTTTTCATATTTCTTTTCCCATACCAATTACACTGCTTTCTAATTTATCTTGTGTTTAGACCTTCTTGAAGGTTTTCTTAATGTATTTGAAAGTTAATTATAATTATGCCAAGTTAACCATTATTTTGTTCAGGAAAGTTTGGCAGCCAGTTCTGCCTCCACAAACATCACTGGGACTGTACTCCACTGAGGTACAAAGAAAAAATTTGGTGTGAGGTTTTATGGATGCCACCGCCTTGCCTATATTCTTCCTCTTCACTCATCCCCGTCACTCCTCCTCATATTCACAGACCAAGTGGTGCACAAACCAGAAACCAATACAGACAGAACCAGACTCCTCCTCTTTCCCCAAAAAATAAGCAAAGAAAAATAAGCTATTTTCAACCCATAAACTTGAATGGGATTTCCACACAGCTGCATGCACACTAGTACTAATCTCCAGGTAGAGGAAAAAAACCCAAACCACACCCCTTAGGAATAACTGTGGTGACCTAGAAGCTTATAATGCACCAGAACTACATGCTAAGTTGCAACAAGTCTCCAAGCAATCTGATTTAATCAGACCTGCTTTGAGCCAGACATTGGATGAGATGACCTCAGAAGGTCCCTTTCAAATTAAATTATCCCACGATTCTAATTTGGTGGACAGTTCTTTCAACAGCTGTTTTCAGAGACCCTTCACTCATCTATCATGTTACTGTGAAATAGCATGAGATATTCAAGTTTTGTTACAGCAGCTCAGCTGCAACACAAAGCAAAGGTTTCATCCTCTACATTCTCTAATACTAGATACAAACGACTATGCTTATTTTTTGAACAATTTCTAATAAGCCATGAAGCTGTCTATCTCTAAACACAGTGCTACCAAATAAGCAGCACCTCAAAGAAGCTGGTAGTTCTAATTTATAACATACTTACTAACATTTTAGCTGCTGATCATTTCGCTATTCTCTCCTCTACAACCAGTTTACTGTGTGACATAGAACCCTGGAATAGTTCCCAGCCAGCAACTAAGCACCACACAGCCGCTTGCTCACTCCCCCCCACCCCCTGTGAGATGGGGGAGAAAACAATCAAAAGGGTAAAAGTAAGAAAATTCGTGGGTTGAGATAAAGGCAGTTTAAGAGGTAAAGCAAAAGCCATGGACACAAGCACAGCAAAACAAGGAATTCATTCACTCCTTCCCATCAGCAGGCAGGTGTTAAGCCATCTCCAGGAAAGCAGGGCTCCATCACGTCTAACAGTGACTTGGGAAGACAAATGCCATAACTCAAATGTCCCCCCCTTTTTCCTTCCCCCAGCTTTTATTGCTGAGCATGATGTCATGTGGTATGGAATATCCCTTTGGTCAGTTGGGGTCAGCTGTCCCAGCTGTGTCCCCTCCCAGATTCTTGTGCACCCCCAGCCTACTCGCTGGTGGGGTGGGGTGAGGAGCAGAAAAGGCCTTGATTCTGTGTAAGCCCTGCTCAGCAGTAATGAAACCATCCCTGAATTATCAACACTGTTTCCAGCACAAATCCTAAACATAGCCCCATATCAGCCACCATGAAGAAAACTAACTCTATCCCAGACAAAAAACAGCACAAACCCTTAGACAATTTCCTCCACAATTACACGCAAAATTTTTTATGGATGCACCTAGCAAGTGACTTCATTTTTTGTGTGCCTGTATTGGTTAAGAATCCCAGTTATTATTTCCTCCTACAAAAAAAAGGAATAGAAGGTAATTTAGTTATTATTCTGGGTGCATGATATTAAGCTCTTATTGATCTGCATAAGACTTTGGTACGTCTACTCATCCTCTGATAATATTTATATATAAATAAACCTGACAGCATGAGGATATCTTTCTAAATAGAGTGCCCCAGCATCTCAAAGATTTTACATAAGCTTCAGTACATGAAGTCACCTATCACTTCAGACTAACCTCTTCAGTCCTGCCTGTCCAGCTGTGTGCAAGAGTCAAACAAGTTCTAGCAATCAGCACTACAAGGTACCTCAAAACTCACCATCACTGACCATGTTCAGAATTATCCTTTCAAACTCAAGAAGAATGCACTTCCTAGACCATTTAAAAAAAAAAAAAAAAAACAACCCAACAAACACACACAAGACAATTCAAAGTTAAACCTCAGGGCTGAAGCTTAAATTAACAAAGTTAAAAAGGAAAAAAAAAAAAAAAAAAAAAAACAACCCAACAAACACACACAAGACAATTCAAAGTTAAACCTCAGGGCTGAAGCTTAAATTAACAAAGTTAAAAAGGAAAAAAAAAAAAAAAAAAACACACAAAAAACCTCCCAAAATTAAGGCTACTCAGAAACAGGCTCTCCAACTTGAAATAAATTCATTGCTTTACATAAAGAAGTACAGATAGAGAACAAAAAGTCCCTTTGCTAGAGGATTTACCACAGAAAAGTATCTATACGGTATGCTAGCTTTGACTTTTACCATCACGTATCATAACAGAGTATCTTTATACTATCATGGAATGTGATCTATCTGTCAGAGCTGTACTACAATATCCTTTAGGACAGCAGAAATCGCCCCATTATAAATTTTTCAGTCAGTGTTAATCCAAAAGGATCTTTATTTCTTTAAAATAGCAGTGTAACACTGTCTTCTACTAGTTCCCTTGCTTGATGCACGAATAAAATAATTTCTCAATTATTTGAATAGTTTGCAATACCCATTTACTACAGATGTGTTGTATTTCTTTTCCTTTCAGCCGATGCCTTAGTTTTCTTTTTTCTGATAAAAAAAGGGAAGTGCTTTCAACGTAAAACAATGTAAAACCTTAAAACAACAAATTTCAAATAATTTGTTTCAACTGCATTTAGCCAAGCCTTAAGTTGAAACACAAACTATTTTAAACTATTTTAGTTTTAAAAAATAAAACAAAAACACCCCCAAAAGTATCTGGCAAAACTGACTGCAAAATTTCCTATAACTGGCAGATATAGGAATGACTAATTACTTACTTGAGAACTGTAGTATATTACAGATTGTTTACTAAGTGTTTTAAAGTCCATGCCTGCTTTCCTACACTAGTCATATAAACTAAACTGAGTAACATAGGTTTTATGTGGAAAACAAATTTTACTACTACACCTGCAAGGCTGGATTACAGCAAGGGCTGTAAGTGAAAAACACATGCACTGAGTGACTTGCTTGGTTCATGACTTAAAAGATAAAGGATGAAGTTTTTACTCTACTGAAATTACTACTCAAACTTCTAATGATTTCACCACAGCCAGGACTTCACCCACAGTTTTTAAGTTCTACTGAGAACCTTGCAAAATACCAAAAAAAAAAAAAATTGCTAGAAACAGAATATAATTAGGAAACCAACTGCTGCTTTCTGCATAAAAAGTTCTTTTCTAGGAATGAATTAAACATTGATTTGTTTGGTTTAACAGGGGTACACAACTGAT